TCATATATCCCAGTGAACTTCAAATTAAGGATACTACTGATTCTAGAAGGATTTTTCCTCAATATTGACACAGATGGACGACTCAACACTAAAGTCTATGACAAACGGGATGATTTCATTTTCCCAATTATCATTTTCCCATTTCTCAGCAGTAACATATATAGTAGTGTGCGCCTTCCGCAGGAACTGCTCCAACAGAGTTATGAGGAGGAAAGATTAAAAGTGACACTCCGTAAATTTATGGACACCATCACGAATTGGTTGATCTATACGATGTGCCTGTGTCTAAACTTACTAACGACATTTTACCACGTCTTAGATTGTGGTTAACATCTATGTTGCTAGTCGTCTGCTAAGTACCGAACGTGACCTATTCCCAAATATGACTGTTTTGTCGAGTGTGAATTTACATTGCTATACGACGTGTCTCGGTATTTATACATCCAATATTAATGTATTTAGTTATGATGCTTATATTGTTGGTTCAGTTGGATATTGTATTATGTCTTATCGTTTGTGGTTTGAATTTTGTATTTTCGGTACATTTCACATATGTCTTATTTGTCAGTATAGTCGAGTTAATTTCCATTTTCCATCGATAAAGTATTGTGTGAGTCCAAATAATTATGACGTCGTCACATCATTTATTTAAAATAGCCTTTCAATGCCGTCATAATCATGATAATTATTTGGACAATATTGTAAAATTAATTGTTAACTTTTCGATCTCGTTTCATTTAATTGTATATATTTCAAGATTATATATATGTCACTGTTCATGCTGTTTGTGGAGTCCTGTGCTGTCGTTATTGGAAGATGCTCGTTGTTATTCTTTGGCTTCCTGTCACGAAGTGTTGTCATATTAGCGATATTTTTTAAAAATGAAATATAAGCGGGAGGTTTGGCTAGCCATAAAACCAGGTTCAACCCAACATTTTTTTTCAAATATCCTAAACCAAGTCAGGAATATGGCAGTTGTTATCAAATTGTCCGTTTCTATGTATGTTGGCGTTTGTTTTTGGTGCACTTTGTCTTCAGTGTTTCTGCTGTTTATTGTTTTCCTCTCATAGTTGATGTGTTTCCCTCGGTTTTAGTGTGTAACCCGGATTTGTTTTCTCTCAGTCTATTTATGACTTTTGAACAGCGGTATACTACTGTTGCCTTTTTTTTTTGGTAAATGATTTGACTAGTTTGTGATATCAAAAACCCTGGTGTAATAATTTTGCAGTTAAACAGAGATTTCTTTCCTTAAAATCAAATACGTTGTTACATACACGGGCAAAGCCCGGATTTGTTTTCTCTCAATTGCTTTATGACTTTTGAACAGCGGTATACTACTGTTGCCTTTATGTATTGTAGCAAATTCATTTGAATCTTTTTTATCATGCTGATCACATAGGCAGCAAGGTCTTTTCATTGCATTTCTTCCAAGGACTAAGTAGGAGAAATATCGCAGGAAGAGCTACAATCCAGTTTATAATAATTATTTTTTTTCTGTGATTTACATTTCTTCTAAAAATGTTGAACAACATGTATATAAAACCTTTTCTAAATAAACTGTTATCACAGAGATATGTCTCGCCTTTTTGTAATTTTGATAATGCAAATGTTGAAATTAAAATAGCAATACTTTAACATGTAAGTTATGCAAATATTCAGTCGATGAACCATGACTGAAGGTACATGGCTAAACAATCTCCATGGAATGAGATGTGCTAATGCTAATACAACTGCATACCAAATACCATAGACTAATTATAAGTCGTCCCCTTTAAACAAACCTAAACACAAACATTAACTTGTAAACTATGTAAAAGTTTCAAAGTCAATGAACCATGATCAGGGGTGGGGCTATACAATCTCCATGGAAACGATACTTGCAAATCCCAATGAATTTGCATACCAAACATCATTGACTTAACATTAGCAGTTCATCTTAAACTGATCTAATCACAAACTAAGTCATGTAAACTAAGCAAAAGTTTCAAAGTAAATAGACTATGACTGAGGGGGCGGGACCAAATATTCGCCATGGAAATGAGATGTGCTAATGCTTATACAACTGCATACCAAATATCATTGACCTACCACTAGTGGTTCCCCATAAATTGACCTAATCACAAACTAATACATGTAAACTATGAAAAGTTTCAAAGTCAGTAGACCTTGATTAGGGGGGGAAGGGCTAAATAATTTCCATAGTAATGAGATGTGCCAATGCTAATACAACTGCATGCCAAATGTCATTGACCTACCACTTATGGTTTACCATAAATTAGACGTAATCACAAACTAATACATTGTTGACGCCGCTGCCGCCGTCTTCGTCGCCGCCGCCGCCGCGGTAGCCGACGCCGGAAACAGCATACTTATGTCTCGCTTTTTGACTCCGTCATGGCAAGACAAAAAGAATAAAGATTGAATAATATACTATAACATATTTATCAATATGGCTTATTTAATTTTTTATTTGACTGGCTTCATGGTTTTAAGAAATAGAGGTAAACAGACACAAAGTAGATAAGACAAAAGTTAAAATATAAACTATTGACTAACGTTTGAAAACAGAACAGAGAATCCTTAAAATATAAAAAAGAAGATGTGGTATGATTGCCAAGGAGACAACTATTCACAAGAGACTAAATGACGCAGAAATTAACAACTATAGGTCACCGTACGGCCTTCAACAATAAATAAAGCATATACCGCATAGTCAGCTATGAAAGGCCCCCAAATGACAAATGTAAAACAATTAAAACGAGAAAACTAACGGCCAAATTTATATACAAAAAAATGAACGAAAACAAATATGTAACACAGCAACAAACGACAACCACTGACACTAAGTACAGATCTGAGAGTACTCGCAGTTACTGCCAGCTAGTTCAAAGCCAATAACAACTAATAAAAAAATAATGCATCTAAGACTAAATTATCAATCATTACACATCCAACATCAAATGGATTTAGTGTAAAGACGTCATAAACAGTAAGAGAAAGACATGAACTTGTGCAATACCAAGATACATGTATCGACAGATTGTAGATTCATGAATATGCATGTGTATAAAACAATAGTACTTAGTTTGCTTTTTGATAACAAAGTTGTACGATGTATTATTTTTCAGGAAAACTACAAATTAAGTCATGTCAACTGGTCAACTATTTAATTTGCTATCAAAACTGCAACCTTAGCATACAAATTTTCTAGGACAGTTGATGGGTTGTCTCAATTATAATTAAATTTTCAAACGTCTTCTAAATGTCACATAACCACTATGGACCATCAATGATCATGCTTGTCTATACAGTTCAGGGATAATTTTCACAGAACAGATTAAAAAAGGAGAGAAGCTGCATCTGCAGGTGTTGATTTTAGTGATAATGAAGATAAATGGTTAAAAAACAGCAAAATGACGAATAAATACATATTGTCAATTAAGGTCGTACAATTTTCCTTTTAATAAGGAAAACATGCCACTCCTCCGTTACGAGAATGACAAGAAGGATTTTTATAAAAAAACAAGTTATGGCTTGCTTAATTATGTGATATGTGTTTTATGAAAAAAAAAACAGTATTAATATTAATCTAATTCTACAGAGATTATCAATATAAAGTACAAATAACGCAAGCGATTGACGATCAGCGAAAAGAATTGGACAGCGTCGGCACTATGGAGACGCATCATTCCTTATTAATATTCATTAGCTTTAAAAAGGTTCTTTCCCAATGGAAAATTTACCTTGACATATCGACGACAAGGCCCAATAGTTTTGGAAAAAACTTTTCAAGAAAGTTCAATGGTGCAACGCCATATTTTGGTCCTAGAATATCTAACTCAATAATGTGTTAGTAATTAACTCATGTTGACTCAGGAAATAACTATGGGGTCTTTTGAATAACTTTAGAGAAAATGAAATAAACCTTCAACAATATTAATGAGTTTGTACAAAAGTATTTCACACTCATCTACTGATCTATGGTATGGAACGTTAGATGCATGTATTTCTTTAAGTAGGTTACTTGGGCGTTGGTCAAACTATTTTTGCCAACAACGATAAATGTATCATGTGTATGACAAAATGACAACTTAATGAAGGTAAAAATGTGGCTGACAATGGACGTGTGAAGTTGAACTTAGATGTAATAACAAATTTGTGTGATGCGTCTTACATGTTTTTCTTATCTTAAAAATATATGTCATCTTTTTAAAGTTTATCATATTGAGTCATCTCTTCAAGTTTATTATTACGGCTGAAATAATTCCCTTACATTTTTACAAAAAAAGTACTAAATTTTTCAACTGTATTTTTTGTATGCAAAAATGTAACGAGACTTAGTTCTATGATGCAAAGAAAAGCAAAATAATTTATGTGAACATTTATTAAACGTTCGTTAATTTGGTGCTACAGCAAATGAACGTCTGATTTATGATAGTTGTTTTTGTTATTACAATTTTTGACTGTATCAATGATATTGCATGTCATAGCAGAAGTTCTGACTTCTGATTGATGCAAAACAGTGTCATTTACATTGACAGTACCTCTTTTACACAGATAAGAACAAAAATAAGTATGTAGATGTTGATCATTACTGCTTTCCAAAATTTTATAGTTTTATAGGGTTTCATCCCACCATGAAAAATATATCATATATAATAGCAGAAAGCACACCATTCATATAAAGCAACATTTTCAATTTTAGATTAATCTATTGTTTGACCAGTTTTTTGTTTACGTTATGCATATGAATAATATCGATTATAATTTTCATCAAAACCTAATTTATACATACATTTAAAAATCTGATGATATATTTAATATTTCGTGTGAAAAATATTGATGAAAAAAAAACAAACGTGTTGTTTGGCTATTCTAGTTTTATCTTTATACATATTACTCATATAATTTATAATGATAAGATTTTAATATGCATGATAAACTGCCATCGAGACATCTGTTGCATGATCAAAGTTTTATAATATAGTATAAATATCTTAGTCCATGGTATGTTGATACACAACATTGGCTTTACGCAACAATTCTTGAAGTTGGCTGTACAACTGAATGTAAGTCTGGTTTCATTACTTGATATACAAACAGTATATGATCAAGCTACTGCCTGTTCATAATGTGATATACAAACAATATATGATCATGCTACTGTCGATTCGTAATGTGATATACAAACAAATTATGATCACGCTACTGTCTATTTATAATTTCACATACAAAGAATATAATTATGATCATGCTACTGTCTATTCATTTCTGTGGAAGAGTAGCCATTTGAATGTGTTCATAAAATATTAACGTTAAACAGCGGTAGACAATGAGATATTGGAGAAGGGAAAATAAATCTATCATTGATTTCAAATAATACATTTATTGTTTACTTTAATTGTTTACTTTTTTCTGAACAACAATTCAGATATTGGTTTACTTATACTGTTTTGTTTTCCTGTCTGATAGCAGTTGGTTCTTGTGCACTGCTCGGTGTTAAAGTTTGAAGAATCTATGCTGTTTAAACGAAAATATGCCAAATACATGGCAATCTCAAGCTCTGAATTTATAAAAGTGATAACACATAAGCTAATAAATGTTATATGGTTACCTGCGATACTTAAAACCATATTAGATATTAGGCATGTGTTTTTTGGCATGATAACTTGGCAAAACAAATCCCCGTTATATTGTTTGGAATATTTTTTTCATCGTTATACGGATTCATTTAGATGTTGCAACACCTTCATGTCATATGCGCTAATGCTCCATCATATCATATGCGCTAATGCTCTATCATGTCATATGCGCTAGTGCTGCATCATTTCATATGCGCTAATGAAAACTTTGTACATTTATATTTACCTCATACATTACTTTACTGGTACCTAATGCACCAAAGCTACTAACTTCCGGTGTCGATTTCCTAAAACGTTACAAAATTATCAACCGTTGTTTTTTCAAAGACAGTTTTATTAGTTTCATTTTATTCACTCAGCATATCTTGAGTTGCTGATGTTACTTTACAATTATGTGATAGTAATGGCATACAAAAATGTGAAAAAGATCTAGTAAATTTCATAAAAGATAATAACTAAAATACAACAGAAAAAAACCTGTTAAATCAAACGTAATTAATTAACAGAACGAGTGAAAAACAACTGTCATATTCCTGACTTAGTACGGACATTTTTCGAAGAAAATGATATGTTCAACCTTGCTTTATAAATAGATTAACACCACACTTGTTTCAGTAAAGAAAAGCCATGGCAATAAACATATCTTTTTTTTTATTGATCTCTTTAAAATAGAGAGTGATCTAACAAGTATGAATGACTGTATGGTCATTCTAATATTTGCAGACATTCAAGGTTGCTATTTTCATTATTATGACATATTTCAGATACATTTGGTAAAAACAATAGAAGAATTATTAATAGAATAACACCACACTTGTTTCAGTAAAGAAAAGCCATGGCAATAAACATATCTTTTTCTTTATTGATCTCTTTAAAATAGAGAGTGATCTAACACGTATGAATGACTGTATGGTCATTCTGATATTTGCAGACATTAAAGGTTACTATTTTCATTATTATGACATATTTCAGATACATTTGGTAAAAAACATTAGAAGAATAACATAACTTAGAAGGATGTTGTTTACAGTAAAAGTTATGCTGATTTTAAGCTTATCAACAGGTGATTTAGTACAAGGATGTATTGCACCGTGTTCTTGTAATGGAACCTATCACTACAAACCAGTAAAAGTCTGGCATGGCCTATATATGTACTCGACTATACTGAATTTTACTCGACCAGTCTGCATTGGTCTGAAATTTACTAGATATCACTCGACTGTAGTCTGAACCATACCAAACAGTCTGAACTTGTGCTCAACCTTTACTCGACCAGTACTTAACCATTTTATAAGTTTCTGAACCATTATCGACCAAGTTTGAACCATGCTCGACATACTCTGAACCATACTCGACCAGTCTGAACCATACTCGACCAAGTTTGAACCATGCTCGACATACTCTGAACCATACTCGACCAGTCTGAACCATACTCGACCAAGTCTTAACCAACCCATATTTTGTATCTATCTATTAAATTTCATCAATTAAGGAACTGTTTTTAACAACAGATATTCCCTTGGCTAGAAATTTTATCAACAATTTGAAATCAAAAATATATTTAACATACATGATATAGCATTGAAACCAAAACTTAACAATAAATATAATATAATCATCAACACCTTAATTTATCAATACTTATAAATATATATATATATATATATATATATATATATATATATGCAATGTGTATCACCTTTAAAATAAAAATAAAACAAGATGATCAAAGAAATAATTTCTGGTCAGATTAAAAAACATTTCAAGTAATAAATTAAGTTTTCAGTTTTGAATTTTTATTATATACATGATATCATGTTCACATTGCATTATGTACATCTAAAACCCTAGAACTTTCGACCATTATTCAAATATCTTAAAGGATATTCAAATTTTTTCAAAGTTTCAGATATATTTTATTGTTACTGGAAACTTATAAAAACTACTTACTTAAGCCTGGTAGAGATTTGTGGTTTAAGTCATGTTTAGTTAATAACGCAGTGAACTTTTTTCATTGTATATAAAGCAACTTAAAAATTTTTTAAAATGACACCTGAATTGAAATTTTCAGTTAATTGATTTTTTATTATATACATGATATCATGTTCACATTGCATTTTGTACATCTAAGATACTAGATTATTCGTATATAATTCAAATAGCTTAAAGGATATTCAAATGCTTTGAAAGTTTCAGATATAGTTTATGGTTACTGGAAAATTTTTACTGGTCTTTAGTGTATTTTACTTGCTATTCCAGAATACGCGAATACCAGATCATATTCCTGTGGAAACAACGTATTGTAAGTACTGCAATGTAGTTGAATATGTGTGAGATGATTTATTTGACAAAACATTACATTCTTCATGTTCTTCATCCATATTGCGAAATATAACAAACAGTTATCATACATTCTGTATGTATGTGCCAAATCAGGAGCCTGTAATTCAGTGGTTGTCGTTTGTTGCTGTGTTACATATTTGTTTTTCGTTCATTTTTTTGTACATTAATTAGGCCGTTAGGTTTCTCGTTTGAATTGTTTTATTTTTGTCATTACGGGGCCTTTTATATTTTACTATGCGGTATGGGCTTTGATCATTGTTGAAGGCCGTACGGTGATCTATATTTGTTAATTTCTGTGTCACTTCGTCTATTGTGAAGAGTTGTCTCATTGGCAATCATACCACATCTACTGTTGTACATTATGCTTTCTTTCACATTCATGTTTCATAGTTGTATCTTATGGCAATGCATTGGTACTAAATGTCTTGATGACTTCCTACCCACAATTTGTTTTCCCATTTACTTTTAAAGATATATTTCTCTATCTAATCAATACACTGTAGTTAGAGATTAATGTGGATTCATTTACTTTCATAGTTTCCAATTGTCGTGGATTAAGGAAAACTTGTATTTTCGTAGGTATTTGATTTCGTGCTTTTGCCAAAGGCTGCATGCATTCCAAGTAAAATGTGCAATTCATTGAACATTTAAATTCGTGGGTCCCATGAACCCACGAAATCCACGAAAATTGGTATCCAAAGAATAATAATGAATCCACAGTAGATTATTTTTATCATCAAGCATTCTATAAACCTTGAATACGACAGGAGAATATTGGTTTATCAGACAACCAAAAAAAGCATTTAAGACTAAACTTGTTTAAACAAAAAAAGTAAAATAACAAAAAAAAAAAAAAAAACAAACCTGAAATCCAAGGAAAATTCAAATCGAGTCCCTTATGTAAAACATTGATACATTCGCATGGAGTCAAGAGTGATCATTATGACCTTTCAAAAATCAATGAACAAGCTTCCATCTACAAGCTTTTTATATACTGTAAATTAAACAGGCAGATATTATTATATATGAGACTTCCAATACAATGTATCTAAGACTGTACTTTCTTAAACAGATTTCACTGCAAATGTGCCTATATTAAAAAGCATGCATTTGGACACTGAAGTTTTACTTCATAACAGTCTTGAAAACTGCAACAATTTAGTTTTAGTCGTTAAGTAAGGCTTTAATGAGTTCGAACGTCCATATACTGCTTTAAGACTGTAAGCAACCTAATTTTGGTTTTATAATTGTTATTTTTATGCTTCAGCAAACAATTCTAATCATTTTGTTTTCATAAAATTTAAACAAGTTTTACGTAATCATCTGTTACTTTGATCTATAAATGTTCGATTTAAAACAATAGTCATAATACAAATACTTGTACATTTTACTCATTAGTTTTACGTTACCTTTCACATTATATATATTATATTATGTAGACAGTATATACTTCCGGCGTTTACACCCATATATATTAATACTAGAAAATTTGACAAAAACATTGATTCAGAATGAAGTGTTGATTCAGAATGAAGTGTTATCAGGATGATTACTGAAATGAAATGCAAGGTTCTTTTATTTTTCTAAATTGCGCAAAATCATGTCATAAAACTGTATAAACTTATTTATGTAGTTTTGGAGTATAAAATCTTTTGCAACTTAATTTTCATTCTTTCAGAAACCTGGATAACAATAACAAGTCCTCATTACAAAAACATTCGATGTCTGGATTAGCATCCCTACAGTATTTTAAGTACCAAAACAGTATCAATCTAATAGATTTGTACACTAATGAGCATGGAGTAATAAACTTAAAACAAAACAGTAAAAAACCATAGACTTTTTTTATTTACGGATAGAAATGCTGCAATATTCCATATATAAAAAGCTTGCATAAGAGAACTAAACTTTTTGCATGATGTTCACATAAAACGTCGCAATGTTATTCTTTTTGTATGTTTTCATTCGGCCTGAAATACTGTGTTCGGTTTCGATCTTTCACATACTACTATTGAATAAATATCAAATAAATCGTGTACAATGTTGAAAGTAAAATGAAAATTTATGATTTTTTGTAAACTTTTCAGTCATGAATGGAGACAAAAATATTTGTCTTTCGGTCAGTCTTAGTCTTGTTTCATAATTATTTTATTTATTTTTAAAATTATTTTTACAATGATCTTCTTATATTTGCTCTATTTATTTCATCTATTCTATTGAGAACAAAATTCCGATCTAGAACAAAAATATCAATAATGCAAATGCTTGTTTTCTCATGTTTTCCTCATTATTTTTACGTCACCTTTCACATTTCAAATATCAAAGAAACAGTGTTAAATTTTCCAAGCTTTTGGTCACGTGATATTGGATTAAGTTTGCACATGTTTTACGTAATTATCTATTATTTTATAAATGTTCGATTTAAAACAAAAAAGTAAAAATGCAAATACTTGAACATTTTATTCATTATGCGAAACCTGGATAAAAATATCATAACCTCATTTCATAAAGATTTGTTTTTTGAATTAGCATCCTTACAGTTTTTGTAAGTAGTATTCAGTATCAATCTAATAGATTTGTACATTAATGAGCATGCAGAAATAAATAAAAAAAAAAAAAAAAAAAAAAAAAAAAAAAAAACAATAACTTAAATCCATAGACTTCTTTTTTTCATTTTTACAGATCGAAATTCTGCAATATTCCATAAATAAAAAGCATGCATTAGAACACTAGACTTGTTTTCATGATGTTCACGTGTAACGCTGCAATTTTTTCTTCTTTTTTTTTCGTTCAGCCTAAAATACTGTGTTCGATCTTTTATATACTACTATTGAATATATATCAAATTCTATATTGTACACTGTTGAAAATAAATTGAAAATTTATGAATTTTTGTAAACATTTCAGTCATGACTAGAATGCAATTTTGGTCTGCCTTAGTCTTGTTTCAATATTATTTTATTAATTTTTAAAATAATTTTTTTAGATTATCTTCTGAATTTCAAAACATTTTAAACATTTTTTGAAATCTATTTATTTGATCTATGAACTTTCGATTGAGAACAAAAGTCTGATATAGAACAAAAGTAGCAATAATGCAAATGCTTGTTTGTTTTCCTCATTAGCCTTACGTTACTTTTCAAATTTCAAATATCAAAGAGACGGTGTTAATTTCCCAAGATTTTGGTCACGTGATATTGGATTAAGTTTGCACTTGTTTTTATATCATTCCCTTTCCAGTATTATGTTCATAATTATAGTGCTTACATATATTTGTATTTTGTTGCAAAACTTAATATGAACAAAAAAGGTTGTCTACAAAAGTCATACTTAACTCGCATAATATTTCATTAAAACGCTTCGTGTTGATTGTATTAAAACTACTTTGAAGAAAAAAATAACTTTAAAGAAACAATAAAGCCTATTTACTTTCTTTCCATATTCAAGGATACAATTCTAAAATAAATCATCTAGATATAGTTTTTAATGAAAATTGATTTACCATATATGTGGATATCGACCTTTTATTATCATATATTTTTTCTAGAAAATTTTCATACTTAGAAGGTCATTCAAATTGTAGATGCCTAAGATCTAAAATACGTTCTTAATAATATAATTTTTGAAGAAACCTAATTATCAAACGACTGATAAGCCTTTGCAATTATCTACCAAATAAGTATCAGTTTCGTAGGACGTAGAAACGTATACCAGTCATCAGTTATGATTTGTTTATTTTAGAAGTTTAGGTGACAACAAATTAATCAGTTTAGAAGCAAATCAGTTTTCGTCGACCCGAAATTTAAAATATTTGTAAGTATGATTTCTGTTTGATTTACCACATACTTGGAGATCGACTTTTTATTATCATATATTTTTCCATCATCTAGATAGTTATCATACTTAGAAGATCGTTCAATTTGTTAAGGTTTATATTAAAAAAATACGTTGTTGATAATATAATTGTTGACGAAACCTTATTATCAAACGACTAATTGGCCTTAACAATTGTTAACGAACTAGATCTACCATAGTGACACACACATACCCGTTTCATAATGAATATAGAGAAAAGAAGATATGGTATAACTGCTAATAAAAAAACTATCAATTCGACAGGACATAGAAACTTATGCAAGTCATCAGTGATAATTTGTTTATTCCAGAGTTGTAGATGACAACAAATTAACCAGTTTAGAAGCAAATCAGTTTTCGACGATCCCTAATTTACAATATTTGTCAGTATGATTCCTCTTTATTACTTTTTTTATAAAAAAATTTGTTTTCATTTTTCATCACTACCAGGGGACTCGGTGGCCGAGTGGTCTAAGTAGTATAGGTTGCATTTTGTAAATAAAGCTGTTTCACAAAATATGCCTCTTTTCGGCAGACACATAATACTCATAGATATTATGTTATGTTTACCTACTGGTACCACGAGATTAGCTCTAAGTTTCATCTCGTAGAGGCACTACTTAGGAGTTTAACTAGTATGCAAACACATGGAGAGCGGTCAAATTGAATTATGATGAATACCCACAGTAAGGAGAAGGGATGTACAGATTTTAGTATAAGCTAAAACTCTTAGAAATTAGAGGCATATAAATGATGAAAACATGCCACACGGTCCTAGGTTTTGACCACTAAAAAATAGTCGTGCATTTTTATGGACTTTCTATTCTAAAATGTACTTTCATGAAGATGAGGTTGAGGTCTGTCCTGCACCAATGATATAAAGGAGTACGGATAAACAAATTATATTTTAAAGATAAATCATGACTTTAGATAAACTAGTTATCGTTAGACAATAATCTACAAAATCTATGAAAATGATTCTTATTTATCTTAGGAGAATATTCTGACAATATTTTAAGTGATAAAGTGACACACGTTTATAAGTATTCAAATGATATAGTGACACGCATTTACCTGTCTCATGCAGACAATGACACACACAATAGCTATGTTATTGTGACATTCAAACGATTAATACGACATAGTGACACAGACTTACAATTGTCCAGATGACTTAATGGCACATATAAACAAATATCAATATGACGTAGTGACATACATTTACATGTCATTAGATGAAAGTCATATTTTCTCTTGCAACCAAAATATTGTGGAGAATTTTAGCAGTTGGTTTTATCAAATATTGCTATTTTCTATCCTTATGCATTTTGTTATTAACACAATTATAATTAACAATAATCCTCATTTTTCATTCCTTTAAGTTTTTGTTTTTATTTAGATCCATGCGTGGAAACCAATTTATTTGTTGTTTAATGACAAAATTTATATATTGGGTTAATAGGATAGAAGTGAAAGCTGGATCATGTGCTGATTTTAATAAAGATACTGAAATCACAAAGTTTAATACAACAGACTGCCAGGTTTGTAGCTCAAAGTTGTTCCTGTTAATTAGGTTAACTTACACAGGACAAATTGTGATTACTTCATGATTATGGTAACTATTACTATAAACACCCTCATCAATGTTTTTTTATCAATAAAAACTTAATTATCATCAACTTCATTTCTATAATCATTATACAGTAAAACCTGCTTTAATTTAATTTCGTGTACAGCAAACACCTTTCTGAATCATATTTATATGTGAAGTTAGTTGACAAAAAAACACCTTTAAGCAAATTTATTCTGAAGTTTGAAAAAACATATTGGGTTACAAGGGCTAAACACACAAGTTACACAATACGATATGAGATTCTCGATTTTCAACAATAAGAGAATGCACATACAAGCGGAATTCTATACGGTTTTAAAGTTTATGCAAACGTTCCTAGGTAACACTATAGCACGATAAGATAAAAAAAAAATAAAATCAAATTGTTATAAAATGGGAAATTCAAACTCATAAGTCGAAAATAAACAGACAAAGTCAAGGCGAAGCAAAGAAAAGGACCAAAAGATAATCAACAGTCAGGAAAGGAGTCGTACAGTGAATCAGGAAAGGGGTCGGACAATAAGTCAAGAAGGGGTCGGACAACAAATCGTGAACATATTATTTGAATAACAAATATGCATTGACTTTTATAGGTTTATAAGAAAAAAAGTTCATATAATATACAAATTGGAATATATTATTCAATCAATCTGACAATTTTTGCAAGAACATTCATTTTTAGTTTGCATTAATGTAAGTAGACAATTGAGAACAATTTTATCGTTATTGTATACTATGCACTTTCTTTCAGGTGATAACGGAACTGAATAATTCTGTTCTTATACTTTGTGTGAAAAAAAAGACTAATGGAAAGAAAAGAAAATAACCAAAAAGGAAAGGACGATATTGATATTTGTCAGCATATCAAGAAGATTAGAAATAAACGGCATTTAACTGGCAACAAAAGATAACTATAATTCATCGTAGTCATTGTGGAAAATTTTTTAATTACTTTCATCTGAATTTTATAGGAGGTGTGTTTTAGGTTTTCTTTTTTCTTCCATCCTATCACACAGTTTTGTGCTTAATCAATTAGAGTCCACCCATGAAGGTTTTTTTTATATATTCACACTATTCAAATATACATTTGTTGTAGTTTAATAAAGTAGAGTTCAAGCATAAAGATTTTGTGGTTTACATTCTTTTGATTCTTAACATCCAGTTATTATGGTTTCTTTCAATTGATTCCGAACAGGTAGTCTGCGTGAATCAGTCGAGTCCAAACACAGTCATTGTGGTTTACTTTCACTTGATTCCGAACACGTAGTCTGTGTGAATCAGCCGAGTCCAAACACAGTCGGTGTGGTTTACTTTCACTTGATTCCGAACACGTGGTCTGTGTGAATCAGCCGAGTCCAAACAAAGTCATTGTGGTTTACTTTCACTTGATTCCGAACACAAAGTTTGTGTGAATCAGTCCAGTCCAAATACATTCCTTGTGGTTTACTTTCATTTGATTCCAAACACGTAGTCTGTGGGAATAAGCCGAGTCCAAACATAGTCATTGTGGTTTACTTTCACTTGATTCCGAACACGTAGTCTGTGTAAATCAGCCGAGTCCAAACACAGTCATTGTGATTAACTTTCACTTGATTCCGAACACGTAGTATGTGTGAATCAGTCGAGTCCAAACACAGTAATTGTGGTTTACTTTCACTTGATTCCGAACACGTAGTCTGTGTGAATCAGTCCAGTCCAAATACATTCCTCGTGGTTTACTTTCACTTGATTCCAAACACGTAGTCTGTGGGAATAAGCCGAGTCCAAACATAGTCATTGTGGTTTACTTTCACTTGATTCCGAACACGTAGTCTGTGTAAATCAGCCGAGTCCAAACACAGTCATTGTGATTAACTTTCACTTGATTCCGAACACGTAGTATGTGTGAATCAGTCGAGTCCAAACACAGTAATTGTGGTTTACTTTCACTTGATTCCGAACACGTAGTCTGTGTGAATCAGCCAAGTCCAAACACAGTCATTGTGATTTAATTTCACTTAATTCCGAAAACGTAGTCTGTGTGAATCAGTCGAGTCCAAACATACAGTTTGCTCTTCTGAACTTCACTCAAATTCAAACATAAAGTTTATTCTTTGTAGCCTGACGATAAGTCTTTAACTTACACCTATAACCGATTCGCGTATGTTTGTAAACAATATGCAAGACATTTTATGGAAATATCAATTGGTGACTGGTAGCATTTAAAGCATTCGATGAAAACGTTCTTTGGTAATATTTAGCACCTGTTTAATCATTAATACATTTGTGTGTTTTATTTTTTAAATAAATGTGGGAATAAATTAAGTTTTGATTTACATTGTGTCTGCCATATGAGTTTTTCTATCCCCGATCATGGATCATTAAAACAGGAAACGCGTGCCTAATCCACGCATCCTATCTCGCTTCTTTTGAACGTTAAGCAGTTATTTTGGTTTTAAATTGATTTGTATCTCCTATGGATTGATAAGATTTAAACAATTGCTAACTACTGCTAACTACTGCTGCCTGCAATTTATGTATAACAACTTATCAATAGCGAGTCAATTTTGTAGATTGTCCATAGTTTTGAAACGAAAGGGGTTAATCAGCGAAAATATCATCTATATATTTTTACCCGTCTACCATGGTTCGGTTTAAGGACATTATCTTGTCCAGTCCTTTATTTCGTTCGTCCGTCCGTACGAGACTAAGTTTTTGGAAAAGATAGTTCATCATCAAGTCATATTCACTACAATTCAAATGAAAGTACACATATTCACAAGGATGTGAAATAGTTCATTTGTATGACAAAATAAACAGTAAATTTGGATACATATCTACGTTTTGAAATGTATTTAGATTTCGCGTTTGACATACGTGTAAAATCGCTAAAAAGTCACGTATGTACATGGCTCGTCTATGACAAATGTACGTTTTTTTGCAAGTACGTCTGTTTGTTATTCTGTACGTTCTTCCTTTCCGTATTAAGTTAAAGATTTTAGTATAAAAAGTAAAATAACAAAAATAACAAGGAAAATTCAAAACGGAGAGTCCCTTATTAAACGTCAAAATCAAAAGCTCAAACACATCAAACGAATGGAAAACAACTGCCATATTCTTGACTTTGTACAGACATTCATTATGTAGAAAAATGGCGAATGAAACCTGGTTTTATAGCTAGCGAAACCTCTGACTTGTATGACAGTCGCATTATATTTAATAACATTGACAACATTGTGTGAACAAAAACAAACAGAAAAAAGGTTTCCCATAAAGTTACAATCACAGCAACCTGTAACGTAGTTTTTATGTGCTGTAAACATTTATGTCAAAACAAAAACCGTTCACATAAATTAGATCCATTATTTATTATAATATGTATTTAGTTTTGTTATAAGGCATGCGTGTTGAAGGTTCAAGAGGTCATTTGTTTAATGCCCAACCTACGTTATAAGAGTCCAGTTGGTTTCCTGGTCTGTCCGTTCGTCCTCCCATTAGCTAGGGTAATGTTCAATTTGCGAAATTATTCATTTAATTGTGATTACATTAAATTGGAAATAAGTATACATCTTCATTGAGATGTGTGCGTTATAACAATATATGCCACACTGCAGTTTTCATCCGAATGACACAACTTAATTGTACATGACAAGTTGATAGTATGATACCAGTTCATTCGCAGGTTGACGTTTTGTTCAACGCATTTTACAATCCAGCTATTCCTGCATCAACTTGTATTTAATCGTATTATGCGTTTTGTAAATTATATGCCAAAAAAGTGAAGAAAGATCAGTTTCTTCACCATACATTTTAACTCTAAATGATATAAAACAAAATTTCGATTGAATCTACTATTTTGTAAGGTTTTTCGGGTTGCTATAAAGTTAATTTTAATATCTTTCCTCGATTTATCTCCACAAGGAACGCTAAAAAAGTAATAGATAAGGAAACATATACCATCACTTGCCGATCCGTTAATACATATTGATAAACAAACGGATACGATACGATTTGGGGATTACTAAATGTCGTAGAGTTTGGAGTATGACAAGTTATGAGAAAAATCATAGTAACAAAAGACATCACAATTAATCTACAAATTTCCAAGGCATAGTTTAATGTTATTGTTTCCATAGTTATCAATCCGACTAAGCTTGTCGTATACGTTTTTGCTGATTTTGAAAAAAAAAACTTTTATACCTTTCATATCACTTACGACTATCCACACCTTCCCGTTTGAGCCTGATGACAGAGTTCTAGAAACACGCTATATGCAAATAAATATCTTATATTCTGGTCATTTGGGCTTTTATTGTTCAACAAAAGCCCAAATGACCAGAATATAAGGAACCACATGTCACCATGTGCCCGAAACAAAAGAACAAACCTCATACCGTAAAGAAAGCTTTAGCAAACATCTTATTAAATTTACATACCATCAAAGCATTTACTTGGTGAAAACATAGAAAAGGTAAAATAAGATAATTATAGGCTATATATATTTAATTATGATCCATGTGAAAATAGTTTCTATAAAGTTACACTGTAACTAGATCTCGATTTTTTTTTAGTAAATATGATACAAATAATTTTTCATAAGTTAGTGAAGACTTCAGACCTACGCGGTTTTGAAATGTATATATTATCATTACAAACGATCGTGTTTTTTTCTGACTGTTATTTTGTCTCGATATTAAATTTCTTTAATTACTAACTGATTTTTAAGCGTAGAAAAACATATATTTTTCTTAGTTATAAATGTTTCTGAACCAGCTTTCAGTAAATTCAATAACTCTTATATTGCTTCTCACAGCTTTGTGTCATCTTTTTGCATGCATTCTGTCGAAAAGATTTGTAGGGTTGGTCAAACTCGTACAACGGAACATAAATTGATTTAAGTTGGACGTTGGTCACCTGATCCGTGTTATCGGTATACTTGCTTATTTTTATTTACAATAATGTTTTAATCAATCATTCGTAATGCATGATACTATTAAATCAAGACTTGTGATAATGTGTGAGTTGTAGCCTTAATTGTGAATTGAAATTGGGTATGGCCTATAAACACTATAACCGTTAAGGTGGTACCCAACACCTTGACTAATATTAATTTGGCTCGTTTAATATTCCTAAAATTTTGACAAAATGTTTACTTTGACCCTTTGACAAAAATATAAAAATTTCAAATAATTTGAACCAAACACTTTATCAGAAAAATTTCACTGGTTATATAGCAGTTTGACAAACACTAATTTTGATCATTGAGAAGCTAAATATTTCCTTAACAATACAACGTGATTAAAACGTTAAGTTGATTTTTACAGAGTTATCTCCCTGTAGTGTTAGGTACCACCTTAAAACTAGACTTTGACAAACCGGGACAAGAAATCAAAGTTCTGCAGGAGGGAAAAAAAATTCCTTTTGAATCAGATTGATTTCTAAAGTTTTATAACAGCGAATGTAGAAAACAGACCGTTAAATGTCGTTCCAGAAGTACTGGCTACTGGACTGGTGATACTCTAAAACTGTGTGATGATTGTCAGTGTAAATGACTTTGTACCTGACAACGGGCCATTTCAAAACTTCTGATAGAACTTATAGATTAAATCTGTAATGAATGATATTTGCATGTATACGTCTGCATAAATATGCACTGTAATTCAGTGGTTGTCGTTTTTTATTTGTGTTACATATTTGTTTTTCGTTTATTGATTTGTACATAAATAAGACCGTTAGTTTTCTCGTTTGAATTGTTGGGTATCTCACGAATCATAGAGATCAATAGCATTCAACGTATCCATCTAGATCAGACGAGATGAGTTCCGACAATCACTATTGACTTCTAATAACACAATACCGAAAAATCTATTTCACCGATATATTCTTACGTTCACACTGTTGGAAGCATTTATCCGTGTTTGCAGCACTTAATGTGTTGGCAGCACGTGCCTGTATTGAAAAAAAGGTAAGGATTTTTGTCATCCTTTTTTCTTGGTTGTAACATGTCCGTTGAAACTACCATAAATAGAAACGTACTGTTAACAGGCTAAATGTCAACAACAAAAAGATAACCCGAAAAACGAGACAAACAACACAAATCAGAAATAGAACCCAAACATAAAAAAGGGAATTTTGTTGTCACTATGTGCTCGTCATTTGTCT